AGTATTGTTAATCTGTGACATACACAAATGAAAGAAAAAATGATTAAAGGAGGCTATAAGATAGTTTTTTGTCTGACTTTGTGCTAAAAGCTTCAACATTTTTCAAAATTACCATTTATTCATATTCTTTATAGATTTCAGTATTTCACTATCAAAATGAAGGTTTGATTACATTCTGTTATATTGACAGCAATATCTTTTTCTTTTTTTCTTTTTTTTACAATAATCTTATTTCTAGTTGGAAGCAATGTCTTATCCTCATAATCCTAGCTAATTATAAAGCAAAAATTTGGTGGATTGTAGTTTGAAATCAGTTTGGACAGAATTCTCAACACTGTCCTACTTCAACTAATAAGAAGCATTGCAGGAAAAATAATTAAGAGGATGGAGCCCAGGCTAGTCTGGGCAAAAGAATGAGTCCCTATTTTAAAACAAAAGCAAAATGTACATGGACCGTGATTCAAAGAGTAGAAAGCAAGCCTTACAAATGCAAGATATTGAGTTCTAATTCACACTTAATGAAAGTTGAGCTGTTTTTTTTTCTTTTTTCTTGTCTGCTGATCTCACTACTAGCTCTTGCAAGCTCCCATTCAACAACCACTCTTAACACACCTCTTCCTTGAAATGCTATCAAGAGCTTGTGGTGGATGGCCTAAATTGCCTTGTCCTTCACTGTATTTTGTGCAAAAAAGAGTTGTCTGAAATTTAAAATAGAATGAAAACAATAACAATGTACAAAGACTTGAAGTAAATGAGGAAGTTTGCTATGTGGCTGCCTGACAGGCAAGGGAAAAAAGTTTGCTGTTTAGGTCTAACTAATAAAGTTAGGCTGAAGCAATGGAAGAAAATGGAATAATTGGTAGGAGAAGAATGTAAAAGCTGTTAAAGTGAGCCAGAGTTTGATTTTTTTTTTAAACTAAATAAGGAGTCTTTGAATTTTAATTCAACTTTTCCATTATCATTTCTCAAAAAAAAAAATAAGGCTTTATAGGCAGTAGTTTCTACCAGAGGCACTGAAATCTAATATTATAAGTGACAAATGGAAAAAAGAAAGTTACATTTGTAGAAATCTCCTATGTATTGTCATGTATTTATGATGATTATCTTAAGTTAGGTACTCAAGAGATGTAGATAAAAGAATTAAAAGAATGTTGTCTGAAGAATAGAGATAATAAAATGGATGATAGCCAGAGAGATGATAACTGATTGAGAGATGATAAATAAATATTGATAAATATATAGCTGATATATGGATAGATGGTAATAATAAGTAGATGACAGACAGACAGACAGACAGACAGATACATAGATAGATAGATAGATGCAATTCAGTGTAGGAAAGGTCTTGGAATAAAGATAGTTGCAACTGTGTACCATGTCAATAACTATCAAGATTATTCTAACTCTTCAAACTCACTCTACTAACTTGTCAAGTAAAATTCTCCAATGTAATTTTGTTTCTTCTACCGATTTTTCTGTAAAGTTAGAAAGTAACAACTAGCAGATATAAATATATTTGTTCCAACTGGTTGCTATATTTCTCATTGTGTATGAATAAATTAGTGTTCTATTTTAGACAGTAATCTCATGTACGTTTTGTTAATGTATTTCTTTTTATATTTCTGGTGTTGATTGAGTTCCTTAATTCTATTCTTTTATTACTGAAATGCCAAATTCCTGTTGTGGAATCAAAATGAGACTGACACATGTAATCACAAGAGATTGTTATACAAGAAACCCAAGACACACATGGTGTGTGACTGATGGCTAAAAGACTATATTGATTTCCATTTATTTCATCTCTTGTTCACACACAATACTGGTCACAGTCCTGATTCTTATATAATGGATTAGAGAAAGGTTGTTAGGAAATGAATTGAGCAAAGCAAATATGATATTGTGTTGTCTCAAATTTTTATCAATTTTTCTGTGTTTATTCCCTAGGCTAGCTGAAATGTAGGATCCTAAAGCCTAACAGATTCCAGATTTAAATCTATCATTTATCAATGAAGCCATTCTTTCTAATATAGATCACTTTGTGATGCTTTGTCAAAATAAGGTTTGTAGTCTTCCAAATATCACGATTTGAACTGTGCTGACACAGCAAAGTTACTTCAACTTTTATGATGTTACCTGGGTGCTGTCCAAGTAATTTGTACCATCTCTTTGTAAATTTCAAAAAAAAGAAAACTTTGAATGAAATCATTTGTTTCATAAGGTAGATAAAGCTTTGATAAATTTTCCTTGTGTAAAATTTGTAGAATGTTAGTACTTTTTGTTTTTACTGACATCAGGAAGATGAGAATTCCTAAGTATATAATTCCCTATTGCTAACTCATTTATCAAACTCTGTGAACAAAGTAATAATAATCCTTTCAGATACTTATATCATATTAACTATAAACCATCTTCATACTAACTGCAGACTTCAGATTTCCCCTGTGGAAATACAAGTAGCCTAACAGTTTCCACAGCTATTGACCAAATAGAAGTAGGAATTTTCTGTGTACAATGCAAAATAAACCAATATCATAAATATAGTAAGTGTAGAGTCATACCATAAGTATGCTCTGAGACCCTGGAAAGAAAGCCTTTACCAGAGCCTGGGGGCTTATCTTACCCTGCTCACCAGTTTATAGTCTGACATTTACCAATGTATGATAAAATCAAGATGGCTAGATGAAATCTAAGCAAAGTTCAACTTTTTCAATCAGAATAGAAAGGACCAGTTCTTTGTGGGATACTATAAACCGTTGACTAGCAGTTATGGGTAGGGTCACCTACACTGCAAGGATCAAGTGCTAAACTCTGTGGATTCTAAAATTCTAAACTCAACTCCTACATCCTATTAGTCATTATAAAGTCTTATTTTCTTACATCAGTTTATAATTCATTTTTACAGCTTTATTAATTTTAATTATTTAGACATATGAAAGACATGATATGTGGTCATCCATTCTGACTCCTTCCTGAGCTTGTAGATCTTAAAGCTCAGCTGAATTTCTGTATGAAGCCTTTCATGGGCATAGCCATACTAAATTCTTTACCTCATTTCTCATTACTAACAAGACTTGTATGGTCAGTGAAGTTTTTCTAAACTCTATACCATGCTCTCTATACTATAATACAGAACATCTTCATGTATTTATTCATACTGTAAAGAACTGAAATGTCCTACACAGCTTCCTTGGGAAAATTCCTTCACCATTAACCTTATAAAGCATCACCATCTTATAAAGTATTACCTTTAACCTAAGAAACTGTCTTGACTTCATGCATAAGGTTTCCCACATTATACCATTAACTTCAGTCATTCACCATCTAATTGTAATATTTGTTTCTGTCTCATCTAAGAAAAACTATGAATGTTACATACTAACAAGGATATGCTGAACTGAACAGTACAGTTGCAAATACATGTGATTTCATATTTTGTTCAACCTAAAAAGGCAATTGCCTTTAACCTATCACTTACCAATTATTAAAGTTAAACAGCAAAATATTAAGATATAATGGAAAAGTTCACTTAGGGATAAAGTCTGATAAGTGACAAAGCCACACTAGTGTTCATTTTCTTTCTAACACACAAAGTACATCAAATGATGATGGCAGAGGTATTCTAATGAAACATACTATAAAAATGTTGATGTTAAGAGAATTTTACCCTGAAATAAATATTTATGAAGACAAATAATCTTGTATAAATTGTATGGGACTAATGATTTTAAAATAAATTATACTTAATTTATAAAAAATGTTTAAGATGAAGCTAAAGTTTAAGGTTTTAAGTTTCATTTTATTTTATTCTTGACCCTTTAGAATGTTTTTTAGAGATACATTGTTTGAAAACTTAGACAATAGCCTACTTTTTGTCACATAATTTCTGAAATTTAGCTTTCCTCCAACTATAATTATCAGTTTGACTCAACATGTGGACCCCAGATAGCTCTGGTTCCTGACCTATTATTGCATGGTATTAACATTCTTGGTTATTCTTTTTGTTTGTTGGTTGGTTGGTTGATTTTTGTTTTTTTGTTGGTCATGGGGCCTGAACTCCTGGCCTGGGCGCTGTCCCTCAGCTCTTCAGCTCAAGGTTAACCCTCTACCACTGGAGCCACAGTGACACTTTGGCTTTTTCTCCTTATGCGGTGATAAGGAATCAAACCCAGGGACTCAGGCATGCAAGGTAAGCACTCTACCACTGAGCCACCTTCCCAGTCCCTCTTGGTTGTTCTTGAAGTATCTTGCGTAGAAAAAAAATTCAGAAGTCTCTCAGACTTGCCTGCCTAGGGCTTCTAGACCAGGAATACCCTACATCTCTACGTTTCACAGGTCTCTCACGTCGCTTAGTATCTGAGAACCCTGTCAATCTTTTTTTTTTCCATTGCAAACCTACAGTCTCCATCTTTCTACTGCCCTTAATATAAAAGCCCATCATACCAGAAAAAAGTGAATCTAACTGTAGAAACTTTTCATCATCTGAATTTTTCCTTAGAATAATGTTCTTCAGTTGGAAGTGCTATTTCTACTGTGTTAGTTTGCTAAGCCCTCTACTTTACCATACTCTTTACATTGTATTTATTATTGTCTTTCCAAGAGTCAGTTTGACAGCATCTAACCATACACTCTGATCTTTCACGTTTGCTTTAGTCGATCTCAGCTTCTTAGCCTAACCCAATAGGTTTTTGGACCTGGAGTCTTTTCGACACAATTCGTGAGTTTATAATCTGGTACCAATGTATAATGAAATCAGAGAGGCTAGAAGAAATGGAAGCAAACTTCAGCCTTATGAACTATATTCACAATAGGAACAGAAAGAAGCCGTTCTTTGAATCATCCAGTGGGATAGAGCTTAGAATGCTGCAGTGTCTCTGGGTAGAATTAGTATGAAAGTGGAAAAATATTGAGGTGAGACTGTCTTATAGAGTTAGAACGGACTATCTACCATTAGAGACTTAGTTACAAGGTAATGTGTTTTTATTACATAACACATATCTTACCTTGACTTCCACATGTGCCATGAGTACTGCAAAATTGGTTAGGTGATTGCAGGAGCATGTAGTATGCGTCTTATTTGTTGTCAGGAGCCGACAGCCTTGTGTTGACCAGTAACCTGTCATTGTGCGCTTGGAATAGCTCCAAAATGAACAGTTAGGGTTGAAATTTTCTTCTGACTGCTACAGTGATAAAAAAAATCAATAAAGGCAATAACTATTTTATGATCAGGTAATTTAGGAAAGCATTTTTTACACATAATCCAACCTCTAACTGTTCCAATTCTTGTGGAGGTATCTATGAATCTTTTCGTATTAAGGAGACCTCATAAATTCTATGCAAAATTGAATCTATGCTTTGTTCTATCTGTTTAGAAGTGACTTTACTGGGTTATACAATTGTTAATACTGAAGGAGAATTTCAGAATCACATCAGCTAAATTAGTTGTTAGAAAAAAAAACAACATTTGAAAAAGTGGTCTTTAATTCACTTAATAATCTTTGTATATATGCAAAAACATCACTTCAAGCAGACATGATGTCTTGTAATATATGAACCTGCCTCAAGTTCTAGTGAATATATTGCTAACTCCTTTGCCAGTACTGGGCTTAAACTCTCCCTTGGATTTTACTCAAGGGAAGTACTGCACATATCCCTTACGCCACTCCGCCACTTCCAGCTTATTTCTGGTTAAGTAAATAAAAGAGGCTCAAAGACTATGGTGCCTAGGCTTGTTTCAATCTTTGCCCTCAGAATCTCTACCTCCTTAGTAGTTGGGATTACAGGAATGAGCTATCAGTTGCAGCTATTTTTAAAAATAGTAAGGTGCATTGTATATATGTAAGGTATCCAGTATTACAATAGGTAATGCGTATCATACAATGTAACTGTTTACAGAAAGCTAACTTCATATTCTCATACAGATATCTACTTCTTATCTGCTTTTCACACAAAATAACTCAAATCTACTTATATATAAGAAAATCACACTACAGTTTATAGATAATGACTTTCTCTATGTCAGCACAAAAGAAAGTTTATACATGTAATACTCATGTTAAAATGAATATGGATAATGTGGGCAATTAAACTTACATGCTATTTTCTTACCTTGATATGTTTAACTGTAAACACCACAGGATCAGCCAAATAAACTTTATTACTGAACTCTTTGTTTATTGCTGCTGTAATAACAGGGGAATTGACGATGACAGAATGATTCGTGGACATAGCTTCCATTCCCAACTTCATACTGGCATTCTCCGTGGACAAATAAGGACCCAAGTTGTTATATAAGACAAAGGCTACTCTGATCTCTCCTAAAATGAATGCAAATATGGATCATAAGTTGAGAAAATGTTCTGGTTCATTTGTACAGTCTCCTTAAATTAGTAGTTCCAATTAGATGGCAATCAAAGTTAAGGAATACATATGCACTCACACACAAAATCAAGCATTTCTTTGCAGGAAACCAAACTGCCAAGTCATTGGCCAGGAAAGGAGAGTCAAATCTGCTGAAATAAGTACATTTAAGTATTTTTATCCAAATCTCTATTCCTATCTCAGTCAGTTCGTACTCTCAACTGATTAAAAGATGAATCAGAGCCCTAAACATCAAATCTGAAACTATACTGGCAAAATTGAAAAGTCAAATTTAAGCTAGGAGTGTTAGGGAATTTACCGAGCATGCATAAGGCTCAGCATTTGATTCCCAACAATAAATTTGTAAATAAAGCAATACAAACAAAAATCTATACATGAGTGTGCTTAATTGTAATCCCAGCACGAAAGGAACCGAGGCAAACCTATCGAGAGTTCTCAGTCGGCTTGAGCTACACAGTAACAACAGAATCCAACCACCACTACTACTACTACCACCACCACCAACAACAACAACAAAATCTAAAACACAACAAAAACCCCCACAAACTATGGGGAAATTAAAAAACTAGGACTCATGAATATAAAGTAATTATGCCAACTCACAATTTTTTAAAAAATAAGTAACATTAAAGAATTGTAATTGTACAAATTGTGAATGTACAAATGTACATACCTTAGGGGAAAAGGTAAGTGAAAGATGATTAATGTATGAAAAACAATCAATTCAGTAGTAATTAAAGAAATAAAACATGAAAAACATTGAGATAACATTTCACCTCCACTAGTGTCTGTGAAATTAAATATGGACCAATAAAAATATTGGTAAAAAATTGAGAGCAAGGGGCTGGGAAGGTGGCTCAGTGGTAGAGTGCTTGCCTAGCATGCATGAGGCCCTGGGTTCGACTCCTCAGCACCACATCGGCAAAAAGAAAAAAACCAGAAGTGGTGCTGTGGCTCAAGTGGTAGAGTGCTAGCCTTGAGCTGAAGAGCTGAGGGACAGCGCCCAGGCCCAGAGTTCAGGCCCCACGACCGGACCCTCCCACCAAAAAAAAAAAAAAAAATGAGAGCAATTAGAACTCATTCCAAGTATTTGGAAATATCCTTGGAAAATCTTGTAAAATTAAACCCATAATGACATGAGTAAATTATATATATATATATATATATATATATATGCCTGATATTCATTGGCATACATATTCTTCTCAGTAGTTCAGCAAAGAGATTATGGAAACATAAGTAAGAAGGCTTTCTTGCTAATCTCTATCCATTAAAATAGCTCTAAGTAAGTAGTAGAAACTTGTTAAATATTTAATCTATTACAACAGAGGATTCATTTTAGTTTTTTTTTCTACATTTAGTGTAAACAATCCTGATTTTTTTGGAAGGTTAAACTTAATGATGTCCATATATTTTTCTTATTGATATTATTCACTTTTCTTTTACTTGGCTTATAGCCAGCTATTAATTCAAAGCAATTTCTACTTATGGGTTGGTATCATGTTGCCATTTCTCAATGCATTTAGTCACATATAATTGTTTCAGCTTCTTCATTCTGAAATTAATCTGACTTATGACAATCCTTAGCTTTGCACCCGTACATTCACATATATATTTAATATAATACTTATGATTACATGGCTGTGTGTAACACACTAGAGTTGTATTGTCAAACACATTAGACAAAGGCTCTGCTTTCATGGAATATACTGCATAGTGATAGAGTCAGACAATATACAGGCAGATTTTTCAAATGTAATAGCATACTTTCTTAGAATGGCATGAATACTCTGTAGAAGCATAGGTGTAAACATGGCTGACACAAAAACAGTAACTGAGAAAAAGCAGTCTGTATTACAGAAAAAGAGACAGTCTTTCCCTACAAAGAGTAGAATATATTTCAAGTAATCAGTATTAGAGGCTAAGATGCAAAGAAACACAAAAGTTGTGTTTCAAGAAGAAAGAAAAGAAAGTGCAATACTCTTGATGTCAGAAAATGTGTGGTGTTCATAAGGAACAGAATTAAATTAGTTGACTTGGATCACAGAGACCATGCTGAGGACAGATGTGAAGTATAACAGATGAGTTCAGGCAGTAGATCAAGGCAAGCTTCGTCAAGCCATGTGATAGCTTTCTCAGTTACTTGAGGTGACTCTGTTTTAGGAAAGATTGTTTCTTAACAGCAATACTTTCCCAGGACAGTACCAGAAGCAGAGAAACCAGTTAGTGAAATAACACAGTAATCTAATTTGGCTATATACAATTACTGCTGTCTCAAGTATTTCTTTAGTCCAATTAGCATAATAATGACTTCTAAGCTCAGTCTTACAAGTCTGTTAATGCTTACAAAGCATATTATTCTGATGACAGAAAAATGTGATATATTTTCTTTTTTTAAATTTAATTTTATTCTCAAGGAAATATACAGAAGGGTTACAGTTACATACAGAAGGTAGTGTGAATACATTTCTTGTCGAACTTATTACCCCCTTCCTCATTTTTCTCCCTGCCTCCACCCCTCTCAAGTTATAAAGTTCATTTCCAATATATTGTGTTGTGAGTATCGCTGTTGTATTGGTTCAACCTTTGTCCTTTGTCTCACTATTTTGTTGTTCCTTTCCCTTTCTAATTCAGATAAACATATGTACAATACCCAGAGTACAAAAATCAAATACAGTGACAACAGGTGATGAACCATAGAAAAGAAAAAAATAACACAAAAGAAAAAAAGAAATCATACAGTACATAAAAACAACAACAAAGAAGAACCTCTTGTTTCCATGTCTTGGAGTTCATTTCGCTTAACATCATCTTTTATATGTTCATATGTACATAGCTATTGAGCTATTCTGCTCATCTGCTAGGACAATTCTAGACTAATTATTTGACTAATTATTATTATTTTTGGGGGGGTCTGGTCGTGGGGCCTGAACTCTGGGCCTGGGTGCTATCCCTCAGCTCTTCAGCTCAAGGCTAGTGCTCTACCACTTTAGCCACAGCTCCACTTCTGGCTCTTTTTCTTTTTGCTTATGTGGTGCTGAGGAATAGAACCAAGGGCCTCATGCATGCAAGGCAAGCGCTCTACCACTGAGCCACCTTCCCAGCCCCTCTACTAATTATTATAAATGAGGGAAAACATGAAGCCTATGTTTCTTTGGGTCTGGCTCACTTCACTTAATATGATTTTTTTCCAAGTCTTCCCAGTTGCTTAAGAATGGGGAGATATCTTAACTATGATAAATAATGTTGCAATAAACTTAGTTTTGCTGGTAGCTTTAGTATGGCCTTATTTGTGGTCATTTGGGAAAATGCCCAGAAGTGGGATTTCTGGGTCATAGGGGAGCTCTTTGTTTAGTCTTTTGAGGAACCTCCACATGGCTTTCCAGGATGACTGAACAAGTTTACACTCTCATCAACAGTGTAATAGTGTTCCCTTTTGACCACATTCCCTCTAGCATCTGTTCAGACAAGGGCCTCATATCTAAAATATACTTAGAACCACCTAACTAAGTCCCCCCCCAAACAAATCCTCAAAGAAACAACCACCCCTTTAATAAGTAGGCTAAAGACATAAAAAGAGATTTCTCTGCAGAGGAAATAAGAATGGCCAATAAACACATTAAGAAGTGCTCAATATCTCTGGCCATAAAAGAAATGCAAATCAGAGTAGGAGTTCCGGGAAGATGGCGGAGGAGAAGCTGGAATCTGAACAAGCTCTTGCATAGAAAACAGTTTCAGAGTTCCAGTGAACAGTCCCAAGCCAGAGAATCACACCAAGTGTGCCATCACAGGACAGAGTTAGTCAAGAGAGGGGAAGCCAAGCAGACACATCTGAGCGTCTGCCAGCAGCTGCTGCTGCGGCGGCAGGGTCGCAGCGGCGACCGCAGCCGCGGCCATACCTGAGCGCTCACACAGAGAGTCCTGGACGAAGGAGCCAGACGCAGCGGGCGAGCGGATTCTACTCAACACCAGCAAGAACCAACAAGGAGCGGACAACTTCATCCTGCACTTTGCAGACCAGAGACGACCCGGGATCCAAGACTTGGCGTGAGTAGAACCCCGACTTCCTCACTCCTTCTCAGGGAGCAGAGGAGGGAAGGCCACCCCTCCCCCCACCCAGCACCGGTGATCTCCATCTTGGATACCGACAAAGCTCAGAGGAGCGGCTAGCTCCAGCTCAGGCCTTGGAATAAAACGAGTCATTTAGCAGGTCACAAGAACTTAACGGCGAAGTGACCTCACAGACTCAGTTCCATCCAGGGAAAAGTCACCCAGCTCAGGCGCCAGCCATTGGAGTGGCTCTCCTCACCGGGTAACCAGAGCCAGAGGCTGCCCCTCCCTCTAGCAGCCACCATAATCAATTGAATAACAGAAACCCTGAGAATGGCTCCAGGCTGGGTGCTGTGAGTTTTTTTTCACAAAATAGCCCCAGGGAAAAGCTACTGTTTGTTGAAAGGCCTCAACTCTACCCAGAACCTAGCCTCATCACTGCATCCCCCTCTTTTGTGATTCTCAAAGCAGATCACCCTCCCAGTAAACTAACCTGGGAGGGGGAATCTCAAAATCTTGGGTAAAGCAGAGCATTTTTCTGCCTGTTCCAACAAACTGACTTAAGAAACCAATCAAGCCACAGGACCTCAAGCTGACCAGAGACTCCAACCACACTCTGGTTACAGACAAAAGGGAGATACAGGACTCTTCCCACCCCTCCCCCCCCCCCCCAAAAAAAATCAAAGACCTTTTTTTTTCTTCTTCTTCTTCTTTTCTTTTTTTCTTTTTTTTTTTTTGTTTTTTTTTTTTTCGTTTTTTGTTACCTTATATATATAAAAAATTTTTTTTTGCTTTTCTAAAACTTTTATTAATCTTTAATTTTTGCTTCTTCTGAAAAAATAATTGTTTTCCATTAACTTTTTTTTTTCTTTTCTCCTCTTATAAT